TGGGGGAGGGTGGGGGTTGTGGAAACCTCTAAAGGTTAAATTTAAGCAACATTACAGTGGCAGTGTGGTTAAATGTCCTTCCTCAACCCCAAATAGAAAAACTAAAATAAAATGAAATGGAAAAGAAAGGTAACACAATCAGGGTATACCTTAAAAACAGCAGGATGAACTGGATCTAGTTGGAAGAATCTTGATTCAAGCTCGGGAAGTCTTGTTCCATGTTCATATTGAGGCAAATGCCTAAAAAGTTCAACCCTGTTTTTGGCTTCAGTTTGCTTTACTACTGAGCGCTTCTTCGCCTTTTCCACACGACTCTTATCATCAAATTGCATCCGTGGATGAGGAACATCTTTTTTCCTATCTTTATCTGTTGCACGATCACTGCCCTTTTTTTCAGTAGTTGCAACAGGAGGGCTTTCTTTCTTTTGTGAAGTGCCCTTGGCAATCTTTACTGGGTTTAAATTTGATGATTTAAGATCTCCAGAAGCAGCAGTGGCGGTCTTAGTTCCGTCAGCTGGCATATAATCATCAGGACAACCCAACATAAGTTTTACGATTCTGTAGAAAGGATACAAGACATAATCTGAATCAAAGAACAAAGCAAAAGCATTTTCCCTGCAGTAATATTTTTTATGCACAACACATTCCAAATAAAGAATGCCTTTTGAATAAGAATCAAGTCCAAATAAGATAAGAAATTCTGTAAAATTAATCCTAACAAGCAATGATGTGTGGCAGAGCAAAGGACATAGAAATGCCAAAAGAGAGTTTGGATGTCATAGAACATCTGAATTGTGGAGAGCAGCGCATAGAAATGCCATACTGCAACAAACTGGTATGGGTACGATCTCCCTCAACCACTAAAATGAAGTCAAAGATTCTCTACTTACATGGAAAGAAAATACCGAAGACCCACATGTATACTAGATTTTTCCTTTTCTTTAATGCCTTTAGCCCTACTAAATAGATATTGTCTTCACATTCATTTTAAGGTATACATATCTGGCATTCCAAGCGTCCAGCAACAAACGATACCTAAACAAGCCAGCTTGCTGGCACTAAACTGCAAGTTAAGAATGGACAATATCTACGCAACAGGACGACATTTAGTTGTTACAGCCATTTTAACCCCCCCCCCCCCAAAAAAAAAAACAACAACAACACCAGTATAATCTCCCAAGTGGGGTCTGGGGAGGGTACTGTGTACACAGACCTTACCCTACCACTAACCTTCTACCCTAATCCTTGACCTCCATACCCTCCTATCACAGGTCATGTCCTCGGTAAGTTGGAGATGAGCTATGTCTTGCCTAATTACCCTTCCCCAATACTTCTTCGGCCTACCTCTACCTCTCCTCAAACCCACCATGCCCGAACCATCTTAGCCCAACTTTCCACATCTTGTCCACCACAAATAACATTTCTACCTTGGCCTAAATATCTTCATTCCTGGCTATGTCTCTTTGGTATGCCCACACATCCATCTTAGCATTCTCATTCGCTACTTTCACCTTCTGGACATGGAAATTTTTAACTGGCCAACACTACGGCCCATATAGCAAGTTGGTCTAACCACCACTCTGTAGAATTTACTTTTAACCCCCATAAACAAACATAAGGAAGAAATCAAGATTTGCAGGGCTTTGTCTATAATCTGCAAGACTTATAGATGTGCTTTAAATATTTCTCAGCCAAATGCCACCAAATGAGCAGAGCTCTTGATTTTCCAAAAACATCAGATGTTCCAAAAGTATAACTCATATTAAATACGATTGAAAGAAAAAAAATTGATTAACAAAAGGATGATCAAATGCATACTCTCTAAGGATATAAGCAGCAATATTTCTTTAAACCAATTAGCTCTAATTTTAACATGTGCTAGCATGTAAAAAAAACAATATATTAACAAAGGACTATGATCCCCTAGCTCAAACAATGAGCCTCCACACGAAATATAACCATTCCTTATTCAGTTCTAAGACAAATAACGACACCATAATCCACCTTTCTTTTGATTAGATAATAGTATCATAACTTGTACTAATAGCTAATTTCGTTAGGAAAAAAAAACATATAGAAAAAAGATGCCATGAAACCTAATCACGAAATAAAAAATAAACCTTTAGCAGCAGCTTTTGCAGCTCTTTGAGCTTCCTGAAGAGCACGCCTCTCGGCCTTGGTTGTTTTCTCTTTCAATGGTTTTGAACTAGCAGTTCGTTCTTTCTGCACTTCCCCATCCTTATCTAAATACAAAATACAGATAATTTTATCAATATGAAAAGGGTACTAATATCGACAAAAAGGTACTAATATTGACATAGAAAAGGGAAGAGAGAGAAACACCTGTTACTCCTAAAGGCACGTTAGCCTTGGAGACAGTAGTCAACCTAGAGACCGTAAAGCTGTTCTGCTTGGCGGCAGGCATTTCAAATCCTGCGGAGGGAAGAGAAGTAGCAAATTTTCCAGAACTACCCCGGCGATGCCAGCCAGGAGAGGATGAATCATCAGCCGGGAAGTCAGTGGTAGTAGGAGAAGAGAATTCAGAGGGATTGTAGCTGCCGACGGGGATAGAATCACGGCGCAGCGGGGATAACGGTGCCTGAGGGGGACGGGGTAGGGATAAGTCGGCGGAGAGATGACGTGGAGGAGGGATCATAACGGGGGAAAGAGAGTTACCAGAAGGGGATAGATCGGAAACTGGAGGAGAAGAAGAAAATTGGATGTTAGGACCCGATTGGGAACGGTCGGGTGGAGCGAAGAACCCGACTTGACGAACCTTAGGGTCGCTTACGGTTCGAGGAACTCGGCGAGAGTCCATGGGAGGGAGAAATCTAGGGTTTTAGTTGAGGGGATAGAATCAGAGATGGGATTTCAGGTGGGCAGGGTTTGTGAGCTGCGTTAGTTTTACAGTGCTGCTTCAGCTGGGAGTGTTCAAAAAACGGCTATAGTTTTACGACTCGTAACTTTTTCCTTTTTTATTTTTAATGGTGGATGCTGTGTAGACAATATCTACTCACACGTCCCTCTTTCTAGTTTCTAGCCCCGTTGTACTTGTATAGTTGTACTTCTCGCCATTATCATGACTTGCTGTAAAACTATTGGGAGTACTTCAATGTCATGTTATAATCTTCTTAGGCTTCATATTGCTTGTTCGTGTAATAAGGAAATTATATTTACTTGTTATAAGGATAATAATTACGTGTTGCTGAACAAAGTATGACAACCCAAACGTAAGTATCTTCCAAGTGTTATTTTGTCAGTGGTTTGATTCGAAAAACCTTGCTTGTATATGCATTAACTGATTATGGTTTAATAGCTATAAAACCTATTATTTCTAAAAATAGGACCTCTAAATTTTGGGATCAAAGGCACAAGCCTTACCTATGATAACATTAGTGTCGGCCATGTTTAGTAGCAACACGTATATTAAAATATGTGTTGATGGGTATATTAAAATGTGTTAGATGGATTGATATAAACATTAGATGCATCTAAGTATTTACCTTCTGACATGATGTCATGGTTTAGAGGGATTGACATACTTCTTCTCATATAGGTTGTGATTCTCAGGCATTTATATATTGAAGAACCGATTGATTATAACAATGCAGAATTTACCTTCCACATTCACACATTGTACTCTGGTATGAATGTTGCGAATGGAGTAGAACCTAAACTACAACTTAGACCAATTGTACCTTAGCCCCCGAAAATTTCCATCACCACTGTAATAGAATCAAGTTGATGCACATCCAAGATTGAGGAAGAGCTAATGAGGACGGGCAAGGAGTAGGCTTGACAATTTTGTAAGATGAGAAATTTCTGATAAAAGGAATATACACGATACATTAGGCAAACCTCACATCAAAAAAGAGAAAGTAAAGTGATAGATAAAACAAAACACAAGCTCATATAATACGTGCACTTTTGAATTAGATGTGAAATAACAATCTATGGCCAAACATGTGTTTGCCAAATCAAACCTGAGTTTATTTTGGCAAAATCTATGGCCAAACGGATCCTTAAGGTCCGAAGGCAGAACAGATCTATTCTACCCTGATCCCTAAACTGTTTAATACTATTAGATTACAGGGAGAAGATTGGATCAATCCTCATTTTTCCGATCACAAAGGAAAGAGAAGCTAGTACCGGTTGCCCCGTTAGTAGAAGACAAGGAAATGAGAATTCATGTGTGCGAATGTGAAATCTTGTTCGCATTGAAACAGATAACGAGAAGGAAATAAAGCAAGAAGAAAAGAAGGAAGAAGAATAACGATAGGGAAAGAAAAAAAGAATCAGCAATTGTTTGTTCCCAAAATCCAACTATATTAAAATACCCAATGACACAATGTTTTAAGGAAGATGAGAAGTACACAGCAGCAGCATTATCAATTACAGATTCTCAATTAATTGCGAATGATTCAAATGAAGCTGGGACACACAGGTCCCCTAGAAAGCCCAAGGCGCACTTCCATGCCATGATGCGTGTCAACTGGACGAAAACTTTCAGAATCCTTGGGATCTGTAAGAAGCATCAAGAAACACGTATTAAGTTAATATCTCAAGTATATCTATTCATACAGACTTTTACTTAAACAAACTCAAAGTCGAGACCAACTGATGGTATCCAACAGCAGTCTTCCCTCACCAACATCTCGAAGTATCTCCATGAATTCCACACAAAGCTAAATAGAAGCAGAACCTTACTACCAGTACTCAATTAACATAAGGAAAATAACAACCCAAAACTAAAGCTAAGGCCTTAGACGGCTATCTTATGCACTGACGAACTTAGTTAAACCAATGGAAATTTTCTCCTGTACGTTTAGCATCAACAAGTTCCAGCAAGTGGGATGAAATATTTGACACAAGTTCACACATTATGTACAATGAAATCAACTTTCATCCAATCTGAAACACGTAATATGACTTAAGCAGCAGATCAGGGTCTAATCAGGCTGAGCAGATTGTCTAGTTTCTACTTCACCAAAAATTCGGATGGAAAAGTACCAGAGAAGCAAGTCTTACCTTGGATTAATTCCAAGAATAATGACAAAAAATTTCTACATATGTTCCAAAGACAATTACAAAGAGAATTACTACTCCATCTATTCAATTTTACATGACTCTCTTTCCTTTTTGGTCCGATTTGAAAAGATTGACACCTTTCTTACTCCTTAACACTCTAATGTTTCTCCTAATGACATACTCTTATGGAAATGATCTGCATGTTAAAGACCACATTATTTGAAGGTAATTTCAGAATGTTATATGTATTTACTCACGTGCCAAAGGTTTTTCTTTACTAAAATATATTCAAACACTGTCATATAAAATGAAGCAAAGGGAGTATATCCATCATCTAATGCCGGTTTCTTAAACTTGCCCAAATAAGCTGAAACATTTTTACTAGACCTTAGAGTTGTATCAATAAGCAATTTTGCTCCAGTGTCTTATGAGTTTGATTTTTTAACGACTCCAGTATTATAGGTCAACGGCAACCAGATGAATGGCAGATCAACTAAAGACATCTCCCAATGAAAAGAACAGTCAACAAGCAGTGATTTTACTTTTTTATTTAATAAAAAGCAGCAAAACCATAACCAGAAAGCATAGCATTAAATTTTGATACCATTCAGGTAGTCCTCAAAAGCAAAGTCTTCCAAACCTCCTGTTAGGGCTTCTAACCCCACCATTGAAGATGGTATTGCGCCCGGTGGCCTCTGAAATCTGCAAATTTTAGAAGGGAAAAGAGATTCAGAATAAAGAAAGACCTAAAACTCCTGCTGTCAAACAGATTCCCTCTGCATGAGTATAAATGTTCTGAAACCCAGAAAGAGAGTAAGTTTGAACAGTTGGAACAAAAAATATAGGAATTTTACATAGAAAAACCTGCTGGTGAGCTTTCTTTATCTAATCTAAAAGAAATCTTATTCTCAGAATGGTACTTGCAAGATGAAATTGAAGGCCTTTGTCAAAGCCTTCGAAATGATGTAAGTTTTCAATTGCAATTCTAACAGCGGATGTTCCCACATTTAGCCCTTGATTTAACCATCTTCTTGTCAACATTCCCATTAATCACAACTAATGGGATTTGTTTTGGTTGAACTACTTACCCTCTTCCAGTTTGGCTACTAATCGACATACCCTTTAATTTGAGAATACGAACCTCCCTCTCATACTGTGTGAATGCTGAATACAATTTGACCAAATTCTCGCATTCTCAATCAAGATCAATCCTATATCTTTTTGAAAGTTGTGAAAGGTCTTAAGATTGACAAGGACGCTGGACATGATTGTGTGAAGGAGAGGATTGCAGGCCAGGGGCGCAAAGTGGGGATACTAGAGTAACCGCCGCGGGGGGCGGGGGAG